ATGGTTTCTAATTCATTGGATTAACCAACCTGATACAAATTGCACTTAAATTACTAGAGATACACTACAACAAATTGATTTAGATCTTTAGGAGTACTATTAAAGCCATTCAAAGTTATATTCAATGAGGTTGAATTTCTCCAACTCTAAGAGAGATGGTGAGGACACTAAACCTATACCACAGATTACATGAGTATATGGATGAAGACAACAAAAGATGTCCTAACTTGTTACTATTTGTTTGGGAGACTAATCCCAAACAATTTTAATTGATGTTATTTATGTTAAACAATTTTAATTGATGGACTAAGCCTAATAGTTTAATGTTTTAGAGTTATGCTATTTATATTTTATTTTTTTTTCATTTTGTTAGATATGTTTTGGTGATTTAATAAAAATAACAAACTATTCCTTACCTGAGTTATCTTTTCTTCCTAGCTTTTGTTTCCTTATTTTTAATTCTTGGCTTCTTTCTTTTTTTCTTTCTTTCTTTCTTTAATTTTATTTTTCTTTAGTTTATTGTCCTGCATTAGAGAAGGCTAATGTTGAATTATTTTATGGATTGTACCATGTATCAATTTGAGGGCGTGGACTTAGGAAACTCTTTCTACACGAGTATATTTTAATATTAGTTATTTATAGTCACAAAGATTATGTTTTGTTGCTTGTACTCGTTAGGTTTCTTGTTTAATGATCAGTACTTGAGGATAATGCTATATCTTGCCAACAAATACTTTTATGACACTGTAACAGGATTTTGAATATGTTTGTACATAATAAAACAGTATGCATTACAATGCTTGCAAAGTCATTTTTATATCATATGATTTTTCCAGTAGTAATAAGCTCAAAGTTAGGCGGTGACTTGACTTTGCTTATGTCTGCATTTATTCCACCAAATAGTTGTTGTAATTTCGGGTCACATAAATTAATTATTTTAAATTAAATAAATAAGATAATGTAAAGCAAGAAAAAAATCATCCCATAAGGAAGGTTTAATTCAAATTTTTATGCTATATAATATGTAATTGGAGGGTTTTGAGGATATCTATACTATAGTAGACTAAAACAATCAAACTAAATTAAATTAATAAAAAACCTATCAAGAGAATGAACTTCAGTTTCAAGTAGACGTCCGCCTATGGAAATTAGAATCAATCATTGAAATGATACATCAATTTATATTCTAAATATTTATCCTTTCTTAAAATTAGTTAATTAACTAATTTGTCACATAATTAACTCTAATCATCAAATAACCACAGTGTCTACACTAATAATTTAATTGAATGATAGTCCTAACAACAAGATAAGTTGATTAATCTAAACATATAATTGTTTGTAGTACATGTTTGATTTGATCAAATGTTTTCCTTAAGATTAATAATATAAATCCGCTATGATTATTAAACTCAGTTGCTTCATAAATTTATATACCACAACTCTAGTTTTGATAGGAAACTTAGCAATAGATTGTTTATAATAATAATTTAGAGTCCACTCTAGCAATTAAAATAAACAATCACAAGAAAATAAATATATTCATCATATAAATTAAATACAAAAAGTAAAATAAATCTCAAAGTTCTTGAAATTCAAAGGTTTATGTGTCCTTGTAATCAAGAAAAAAAAAACTTAGTCTTGCATGTCTATTGAAAACTAATCAAAAGAAAAGAAGAATGCATGATTTTAGATTTTTGGACGAAAGGGTGCATTTTTCTTATCTTTCTAGCTGCTCTCTTTTCTTTCTCTCATTCTTTTTATTTGATAGGAAACCCTAGTCCCTCTTTCTTACAAGATAGTCATTTTCTAAGTAGAAAATTTACATTTAAATATTTCAATAGTTACTTTTTTAAAGAAGAAGAAATAGCCTTGCATAAAATTTTCAAGCTTTGACTTTGGACTTCGAGGAGCTAAATTGTCGAAATAAAGACTTGGGTGTCGGTTTAGATAATTTAAGAAATACTTTGGACTTGTTACTTTACAAAACCTATTTACTAGCAGAATTTATATGTCATCTTAGAAAAATCATTTATCTCTCATATGAGCTCTTTTTTTGTTGCAATTTGGTAGGCTGATAAATTTTCAATTCATGAATTCAACAAAATTAAGTTTGCATAAAATAAACTTCTCTAACTCAAGATATTCAAGTTGGAATGGTTGAAGGTCATCATTGGCAGAATATGAGATTTGTTTTTGAAAGCCGTGATTTTCATGCTCTTTCTCTTTTTATTTTTCTTATCGTATATATATAGAAAGATATAAGTGTTAGCTTTCTGATGCTAATAGAATCATTTTATTTCAACCTCTAGAGTTCAAGCTATATACAAAACATTAATCAGAGATTAAATTTATTAATCATCTTCAATTTACTTCGTTTTGAATGTTACATTCAAAAATATCTTTCAAACATAAAATAATAAAAATAAAGATATTTATATATAAAACATAGACAAAATATTATATAAATAAATAAAACTATTAAATAATATAATTGTGTAAATAGCATGCGAGAAGCTATTCCTAATGTACCAATGAAAACTGAAATCGAAGAAGGAAATTTTGAAGTAACTGAGAAACTTGGAGCATGGCTCGCCTGTTTGATAAAACAGAACCTGAGAGATTGGTTCTGGGACAACCCAATTTACAACTGTGTTTGAGATATAAGAACACAGTTATTCAACTGACAACGGAATACACTTTCAGCGGTGTTTGAGATATAAGAATACTGTTATTCAGCTGACGACCGAATACACATTCAAAATGGTGGTTATTCAGTCGACAGATTCACTTAAACCCTATCATTAAGGCCTTATTGACTTAGAAAAAGAGATGTACAGCACCACCTCTTCCAACATAGTCTTATCTTCTGCTGAAAAGGAGATTGGAATACTTCATTTTTTATTAAAAAGGAAATGTGCAACCATCCACTCTTCTCCATTGTTGTATCCAAAGAGTTCTGCAACAGCAATGAAGAATGTTCTCCAGTAAACAGTCCACTTAACAGCTTGATCTTTACCATAGGTTGACTCCATTATTGTCTTAATGGCAGCTAGGTTCCGGTCCATTCTTTTGAGCCACTCCTCACTGAGAGATGTCAACGTAAGAAAAAAATGAGATGATCCATTGCAACAACCGAGTAATTGATTGGGAAAGTTTTGAACTTTAGCTTCTTAACCAAGAACATTATTGCTGTCATAAGTGTGGAGTTTTTCATCCTTACCTTGTCTGTGAATAATGTTTCCCATTCACAAGCCAATGATCAACAATGGAAACATCATCCTGCGCAGAGAGTTTTTAGAAGGGAGCCTTCGATAAGTGAGCAAATGAAACTTATGCAGCGTTTGGAATTCTCTCATGTTCTGATATGCTTATACATGTCAATTTCATGATTTAATATTGTATTTCTAATCATTTGGCATATCACCAGAAGTTTGGATTGAGATTTGAATCTAGAGCCTGGTATGCTTGGAAAGTAAAGCATGTATTTGACGTTGAGATTGCAGTGCTGACCTGGAAATAAAGTAACAGATTTGCAGAAGGCATTGTACCTCCTGTGAAGAAATACCTAGTAATCCAGTCATCTTCATTAACATCCTGAATAGAAAGAAGTTGGAATGTATGTTTATTCAAAATTTGCAGCTTCTCAATGAAGAGATGCTTAAGAATAGCTAATTTAAAACAATACTATGAATGAAATTCCACTCAAAAAATTTTGAGTAGCTCTACCTCAAAATGGTAAGCAAATGCCTTGTGACAGAAATAATGAACAAAAAGAAGGCCATCTTGTTTCATCCACTTGGATATCTTGTTAAGAAGATCTCCATAATTCTTCATATGCTGTGAAAGGACAAATTCAATTTTAAACCAAGTCAACTTTGACCTTCAAATCCCTAATGTAGCATGAAATGCACCCACCTCAAACATTTCAATCGAGTATATACGGTCATAGGATGCCTGCATTTCAAATGTGCTAATGTCTGCAACAATGATCTCCACATTCTGCAGCTGAAGATCCCTAAAGAAATGAAACCGAGAATATAACTATAAAATATAAAGTGGGCAATATTGCTATCAATCAGACAATACTAGATGTCTGAATCCAAAGTCAGATCCCATAAACACGTGCCAATATATCAGGTAGCATACCGGCACTGCTCATCAATGTGTACTTTCTGTGTTGTTGAATTGCAAATCCCAGTAATTTTACAGTTACTGTACTTTTGGGCAATGTATAAAGAGAGTGACCCCCAGCCACATCCAACGTCAAGGACAGTGTGTCCATCTTTTAACTGTGACCTTTCGCAGTACAGCTCCAACATTGCTTTCTCAGCATCTTCCAAGGTGTTCGATTTATCAGAAAAATAACAACAGCTGCACTAGTTCAAATACAAAAAAGCTCATAACATATCAAAATTGATGGCCTTCTACACACTAATTTGAAATGATTAAAGCAGAAATGTTGATCACTGGATTGTTTTTTACCCTCAATTTTTCAAACATTTCTCAAAAAATACAAAAAAAAAAGCATTTTTCATTGAATTTCTCCACTTTTTCAAAATTTAACTATTTCCCAAACTATTGGTTTTGAGTAGGTGGATAAAAAACAAAAACAAAAAACAAAAAATCAAGTGTAAGTCGAAAAAATATAGGAAAAGACAAGATAATGAGCAAGAGGGGAAAGTGAAAAATATTGAAAAATTGAGAAGAAAAAAATGGAGTGAAAAAGAAAATGAGAGAGTGAGTAACTAATCTAAAAACACCATATCAAACAAAATTGAAAAAAAAAAATCAAACCAAAGGGTTATTAGATTCAAGCCTATTAAAAATAGTTCATTTGGTTATAATAAATATAAAACCGAACTGAATCGAACCAGTCACAACCAATCAATCTATTTTTTTATTCATTTTGATTTGGATTAAAACTTTTAGAAAAATAAATCAATTCGATTGAGCTTTTTGGTTCACACCAGATCATTCGAATAGATGCTCACCATGATTGTCAAACTCGTGAGTTGACTTGTAAAATCGTGCGATTTTACAAGTGAACACAGATATAATGCGATTTTACAAGTTAACACAGATATAATGTGCGAAATCGGGTAAAAAACTCGAAAATCGGCAAACTTGATCAAACTCGGTTAAAATCAATCAAATTTAGTAAACTCAAACTGAGTTTACCAAGTTTGACAAAATTTACCGCATCTTCTCAATCCTCTCCATCCCATTTGTCTCATGGTCTCTAGTCTCCTCTCCTCTCCTCTTCATCTTTGATTCATCATCCCATTTATCTCATGGGCTCCAGTCTCCAGTCTCCTCTCCATCTTTGATTTGATTGTCTTCGCCTCTTCAATCTCCAGTCTCCAATATACAAAACACCCATGTTCATGGTATTGGTAGGAGAAATCACTGGTGGTGGTTTTAGAACACTCAGAGGGGATAAAACACATGATTTTATTACAAAAACAAGCTTACAAGATTACAAAACTCACAATCTTAATATACACTCTCTCTTTCTCTATTATGTTTCTCTCTACTCTTTCTCATACTCAATAACACAAACTTAATAGCTTATTTATACATAAATTCAGAGGTAACAAATGGTGGTGGTTGCCAATAGGTGGTTGCAGGTGGTGGTAGTTAATATTAGGTGGTAGCTAGTGGTGGTGGTTGGTGGTTGATCGAGTTTACCACAACAAATCCTCCATTTAAACTCCATCGAAGGTTGTCATACCAAGCATGAACTTTATTTTGATAAATATTTCTCCCTTCATTAGCTTTGTAAAGATATCTGCATCTTGATCATTAGTTTTGCAGGATATTAGTTCAACTTTGTTGTTCTTTACATGCTTTCGGATAAAATGATGACATGTATTGATGTGTTTACTTCTTTCATGATATACTGGATTCTTGGCTAATGTAATCGCTAAATAAATCTTTGTAAGACTTTCATAAGAAAATCCCAAAAACTTCAGCATATTCCTTAACCATATTAGATGGCATATAGCTAAGTTGACAGCAACATATTCAGCTTCACAGCTTGATAACATTACTATCGATTGCTTTTTAGATGACCATGTGAAAAATGTATCTCTTATGAAAAAGACAAATTCAGTTGTGCTTTTCCTTTCATATAGATCTTTACGCCAATCACTATCCGAGTAGCCAATAAGATTGAAGTTTTTACTTGAGGTATAAAACATACCTTTATTTATTGTTCCTTTGATGTAGTGAAGAATTCTCTTGGCTGCATTCAAGTGAGACTGGTCTGGTGTCTCCATATATTTGATAATGAGTCCGATTCTGTATAGTATATCCGCTCTAGTACATGTTAAGTACCTTAAGCTTCCTACTAAGCTTTTGAAATAAGTTGAATCAACATTTCCAACTTTACTCTTCCTCAATTCTACTCCATTCTCAACTGGAGTTGATACTGGATTGCTGTTTTCCATCTTGAACCTTTCTAGAATATCTTTGGTGTAATTTCTTTGGGATACAAAAATCCTTTCATCTTTCTGCATTACTTCTAAGCCAAGAAAATATGTCATTAGACCAATGTCTGTCATCTCAAACTCCTGTACCATGCTTTTCTTGAATTCTTTAAACATGGTAGGATTATTGCCGTTGAATATCAAGTCATCAACATATAGGCATACAAATAATATATTGTCATTTACTTCTTTCTTCACATATATTGCATGTTCATATGGACATTTTTCAAATCCATTGTCTTGAAAATACCTTTCAATTCTAGTATTCCAAGCACGCAAAGCTTGCTTCAAACCGTAAAGGGCTTTTTTTAACTTGTATACTCTGCCTTCATTTCTAGCTTCAATTTATCCAAGTGGTTGTTCAACATAGATCTCTTCTTATAGGAACCCATTCAGAAATGTTGACTTCACATCGAGTTGATAGATCTTCCATCTATGTTGTGCAGCTAGTAAGATCATCAGTCTGATTGTCTCTAGTCAGACTACTAGAGCAAATACTTTTCCACAGTCAATAACTTCTCTCTGTTTGTAGCCTTTTACCACTAATCTTGCTTTATATCTTTGTACTTCACTTTTTAAATTCTTTTTTGTCTTATAGACCCATTTGACACCAATTGCTTTCTTATCTTCTAGTAGATTAGTCAACTTTCAAGTGTTATTCTTTTCAATTGCATGTATTTCTTCATCCATTGCTTCTATCCACTTCTCTTCTGTGATAGCTTTATTGAAGCTAAGTGGGTCAGTATTTGTAAAGAAACAAAATAGAGTTGTATCTTCAATGACTTGAGTGACATCGTATAACTCTTCTAGATTTCTTATCCTTTTTGGTCCTCCTGATGAGGATGCTAATAAGGATGCTGATGGTGGTGTTGATGATGATTATGGTATGTTTGATGTAACCATATTATTCGATAGTTTCACCCATATTTACGTAATGTTTTATCCATGTTTTATATTTAAAATGCCTTGATATTCTTTGTTTTATGTTTTGAAGGCACTTTTGGATGAAAAATGCAAAAAGGAGTAAATTGGAGATAATTGGCAGATTTGACGTTCAGTCAATGTTTTGTGCAGAGCGTGAGTTCTAGAGATCGAAATGAAGTGATTATAGTGGCACTAAAAAGCTAACATCCATACCTTTCTGGAAATGTAATGCAAGAAAAATAAAAAGAGGAAGATCATCACAAATCAAAACCCCCCAATTGCATAACGTATAACATAAAAATTTGAACTAAATCTTCCTTGTGGGATCGACCCCTTGCTTGCTATATACTATATTGTGTGTTGTGTTTTAAGCTAGGGTAATTAATTTGTGCGACCACGACATCACAACAATGTTTTTCCTACTGAGTATAGGGAATCTGTATGCCAGACTTTGTGGCTCATCTGCTAGACCTTCAGCAAGTACTGTTGGTACTTCCACTTTGTCTTCAAGGATCAAATCAATACTGATATATTTTACTTCTTCTTGATCATCGTTCCACTACCAAGATTTATCTTCTACAAAGATAACATCTGTACTCATGATCACCTTCTTTGTGATAGGATTATACAGCTTGTATCCCATCCTTCTATCACCATATCCGACAAAGATGCATTTCTCGCTTTTATCATCGAGTTTGGTCATTCTTATATCTAAAATCTTTGCATATGCCACACAACCAAAGACTCGAAGATGGTAACACTTGGTTTGTGACCATTCCATGCTTCTTTAGGAGTGACAGCTTGCAGACTTCTAGTTGGACAGCGATTCAGTAGATACACTGTATATGATACAGCTTCAGCCCAATATTGTTTAAGCAACTTTTTTGCTTTGAGTAGACTCTTGCCATGTCAAGAATCATTCAATTTTCAGTTGTGATGTATAGGCTGGTATTGTCTAATGCCTACTGCCTTGTTATGTACAAAAGGCTTTAAAGTCATTTGTTGTATATTCTCCACCTTGATCAGATCTCATGGTTCTGATCTTGTAGCCACTTTGCTTCTCAACAATGGCTTTAAAATCTTCAAAACAATTGAATACTTCTGACTTCCTCTTCAAAAAAGTATACTCATGTATTTATGCTAAAATCATCAATGAAAGTAAGGAAGTATCTATTTTGTCCAGTTGACATAGGCTTTATGAAACCACACACATCTATGTACATGTCTAGTGGGTTATTTTCTTTCCAGTTAACTTCTTTGGCAAAACTAGATCTATGATGTTTGCTAAGGACATAACTCTCACAGACTTCATCTGGATGATCAATGTGAGGCATACATTTGACCATCTTCTTGCTTGCAAGCATCTTCAAACTTGTGAAATTCAGATGTCCAAGCCTTCGGTGCCAAAGCCACTCTTCATTATTGGTGATGGCACTCAAACACTTTGCGGCAGCATATTTGATGTTTATAGGAAACATTCTATTCTTAGACATCTTCATATGGATAATTAATCTTCCATTATAATCTTTAATTATTAGATTACAGTTCTTCTTAAGAAGAGTGTAACCTGTCTTCAAAAGTTGGCTTATACTCAGCAAGTTATGCTTAATAGTTGGAACATAATAAACATCTGCAATGTAGCTATGATCACCATTCTTCAAACAAATTGAGATGTTGCCTCTTCCTTTTCACTGGAACTTTAGAGGTGTCTCCAAAAGTGATTTGGCCTTTTATAATTTCATCTAGATCTTCAAATAGATCTCGTTGACCACTTATGTGATTGCTAGCTCTAGAATCCAAATATCATATATTCCCCTGATTCTTACCTAGTCCTTATTGGACTAATAATGTAGTTGGTCCTTTAATGATGGCATCCTTCTTTGTATAGTTGGCTTGCTCACGTACCTCTATTGGAGCTTTCCTTCGAGATTCAGTACTATATTGCCCAAATTGATTGCAACTATAACACTAGATATTTCTCTTGTCATGGTTATTGTAACCGCCTCCTTTTCCTCTAGGAGTAAATGCTTGTTGTCCCCGGCCTCCTCTGATGGTGTCTCTACCTCCTTTTCCTCTGAATCCTGTATTCCAAGATCTTCCTTGAAATTGTTGAAATCCTCTGTCTTTGTTAACTCCTTCCTTGAGTGGTATATCCATTTGCTGAAATCTCCCTGCCCTCCTTGAGAGGCAACTTTGATTGTAAGGCATGATTAATTGTCTTATCTCCATTTTTTTTTCATAATCTTTTGCTTATGAGCTTACAAAGAACTCATAAGCTCATCCACCGTCAACTTGTCCACTTCTTTAGATTCTTCAATAGAAACAATAATAAAATCAAATTTTGGATCTAGGAATCTAAAAATTTTCTTAGTAACTCAAGCATCTGCGAGGACTTTTTCATTTCTTCTTTTTTGATTGACTATCACCATAATTCTTGTGTGATAATCAAAAATAGATTCTGATGACTTCATTTGCACTAATTCAAATTCACCTCGCAAGCTTGAAGATGAATCTTCTTGATTCTACCAGCACCTTTATATTTTTGTTGGAGAGCCTCCTATATTTCTTTTAAAGTTTTTGCAGAATTAATGATTTCAAAAGTGGCTTCATCAAGACATTGATAAATAATAGTCTTTGCTTTGTTGTATTTCTTTCCATTAGCTCTCAAAAGTTATTTCTGTGACTCTTGTAATAAATCTTCTACTTCTTTGGACTCTGGTTCATTATAGCCATATTCAACAATCTCTATACACTTTTGTGAACCAAAAAATATCTTCACTCTGATATACCAATTATAATAGTTGTCTTTGGTAAGCTTCGGGATGAATATTTGTGCATTTTCTATAGTCATTTTGCTCTTTAAATGACTATATCACCCTCTAGGAGCTGAATTTGGAGAAACGAGCACTGTAGATAGATCTAGAATGCTCAAAACAGTAGGGAAGTGATTTGACTTAGTAGAAAACGAGTCAAAAATAGGCTGAACCGGTCAGGAAACCGATTTTGGGTGTTGGGCGGTTCGCTGGGGCTGAACCGGGAATATTTTATGCAGCTCGGCTTGTGGCTCGGTTGAGGCCTGGCTTGTATGGCGTGACTCTGAGGCTCGGCTTACAGCTTATACACCTTGGCTAAGGTCTTATACGGCTTGACTTGATGGCAGCTTACACAGCTCGGCTCAACTCAAATACGACACGCATGTGATTAGTCGTCTTCTTCCTCGGGGTGTGTGGGCTACGCGTGGGCTACAATGGTAGAATTTCAAGCAGCGTGTGTAGGCTAGTGTGAGCTCTGATGAAGCTGATTTTTGCACCAGTGAGTTCGTATGAATGAAAACTACACAATGGAATGATAAAAAAATGGTTTTTGAAAAATTTGAAAAAACAGATATATATCCCAAGAACAAGTCTATTTTTTTGACGAGTAGGGCTCTCATACCAATTGTTGGTGGGAGAAACTACTATTGGTAACTTTAGAACACTCAAGAGGGGATAAAACATGCAGTTTTATTTCAAAAACAAGCTTACAAATTACAATACCTCTCTTTCTCTCTTGTGTTTCTCTATACTCTTTCCCACACTCAATACACATAAACTTAACAGCTTATTTATATATAAATTGAGAGGTAGCAGGTGCTGGTGGTTGATAGTAAGTGACTGCAGGTGGTGATGGTTGATATTAGGTGGCAACTAGTAATGATAGTGGTTGATGGTAAGTGGCTGCAAATGATGGTTGGTGATTAATTGAGTTTAACTCCAACACATGGAGACCCACGCAACACCAGTGAAGTGCAACAATCACCAGAGAAGAATAGATTTGAGATGGGCTAGGGGGTTGGGTTGCTAGGAGGAGCTTTGATTTTTAAGGGTTTTCTTTTTTCCTCCGTAATAACTGAGATTGTCGGAAAAAAACTTGAACTAGAAGTAGAATAGGAATACATATTTCTCGAAGAAGGACGCTAAAGAAATGCTTATCTCAAGGCTAACACCTAATAGGAAAAATCCCAAACACCATCTTCAATAGCTGCTGATTTGAGAACAAGAACCATGGCATTCGATACAACCTAGTCCCGCCTTTGTCTTAACAGCTAAGCCAATAGCAGCACATTCAATAGCAGCAGCAGCCTAGGTAATGGTTGGTGGAAAATGGTAGTCTTGGGTTTAGATCTTTGATTTTTTTTCTTTTTGAATAGGGATGGACCGTGTGGTTATTGGAACAATAATACTAAAAGCATGTTTGGTTCGTGTGTAAATAATTAGGCATGTATGGTTTCTCATTTTTTATGAGTATATGTCAAGCTCAAAACAAAATTTTCACTTATAAATTATAAAATTTTTCATTAATTAGTAGAAAAATTACATGAAAGTTTTTATGATTTTAATTGTTAAAGATTCTTTGTAAATATCTAATGGTTTTAGCACATTATTAAATATATAAATGAATTCTCTAAGTTCTAACATAAATGATCCCGTAATAATTGCTTCAACACTAGTAAATTGTTTGTTTTAAATTTATTAATTATTAGTTAATGAAAAGATATTTAAATTATGTATGAATTTATATTTAAACTATATATTTTAAATTATTTGAACTATGAATGAATTTTTACTTTAACTATATATTTTAAAATGCTTGAATTCTATATAAAAATAAAATTTCTTGTGAGTGTATGATCTATTTTTACAATCTAAATTTATTTTATACTTTTCATACTATATTAAAAATATATTTTTGACAACCTTAATACTTACCCTTAATTTTTGGTTAGTTTTGGTATGTAATTCTTGACCTTGTAGCAGACCTGTATTCCTGCTTGAGTTTGTACTAACTTCATTCAACCCCTTCCTCCGGGGAAAATTGACAAATTGTTACATGCATCACAGTACATACTATATAATTTAAAGCCGCAAATGTCAAAAATCTATTTCTTACTGATGACACTTCTATGAAAAACAAATTCCATTCCAATCAAGATGCATGAACATACCTGTATTTGAGATTTTTCCCGAGGACCAGCTTAAAGAAAGAGGTTGGTAATTCATAATGTTGAGTTTTTGGCTTATCAGTCTCGATGGCTATACGCATTTCTTTTAGAGCTGCAAACATAGGCACAAACATAACCATTTCACACATCAGGACAGATAAAAAGAGAATAATAATAATAATAATAATAATAATAATAATTCAATTTCTAATTCTAAATCACTTTTAAACGAATTCATTCCTTGGCTTCGAACAAATTGTTCTTTTACTCCAAAGTTCATGACTTCCTTTTCGTCTCACTGTGAAATTTCTTATTGTTTTTCTTTTCACCACTAATTCCAAACTGGGCTATTTATACTGGGATTTAATTTCTTATTTGATTCCTTCTTGTTTATTCAAATTCCAGAAATTTTCAAGTTCTTGGAATTTATAACTAAAAGGATCCCAGGAGGTAACTTGATTCCAATTCCCAACACAACCCACGGCACCATGGCCAATCCCACATCATAATCAAATAATCAGCACCGTTAAAAACGTTGAAAATAGCCAACTCCACCTTAAAAAAATAATTCTTATTTGCAACCACCAAAAAATAAATTCTTAATGAGGAGAAAATAAATTCTCTGAAACCAAAGGATGTGTCGTTTTAGCCTGGCCGTAGTCGTTAATGGCTTTTAGCAATGACTTGTTGCCGCCTGTGAATCACCCCAAACTCATAATTGCCTTTAAGTTTTAATTTGAAGACGTTTTGTTTCGCGTAGTTTTTTTCTATCTCGACATTTAGAGACATGAATGATGAATGCAAACATATATATGAGGTTAGAAAAACTTACAATGAACGAATTGGAGAAGGTCAGCTAGCTGGAGTTCAGAGGATGTCCTATAGCAAGAACGAAGACGGTATGCCACGAGCATGCGAGTGAGCCTCCTGATCACCGCATCTGGTAGCAAATTTCTTTCCAGAGATGTTAACATCACCTTCACCGTTGCTTCATAAGGCACCTGCATTAATCTCTCCATTTCGAGTAGAAATCTACTACAGCCGCAAGCTAGCTAAATACCTCTGTGCCAACACAGAGAGAGAGCCGCACCCTCTAGATTGGATTCTGACTTCTCTTATACTTGATGTACTGAGCTCCACGTAGGGTTCCGTATAATGGGCTTGATTGATTTTTAAGTTACAAACGTTTTCTACTTTGACCCCTGGATTTTACCTTTTTTCATTCGAGTCCCTTTTTAACGAGGGTAAAGTAGAAACTAATTTGATTAGATGGGATTTATTTAAATTAGGTTTAGTTTGATGGAGAAGAAATAATGACGTTAAAACGATTATTAATTACTATTTTGCATTAGATTTAGAAAATGAAATTTAAAATTATTTTTTTATTTACAAAAAATCACATATTGAGTTGATATTCCAACAATACATAGTTAAAAAAATGTCTTAAATTTATTTTAACTACAAAGTTTTTAGATTTGAGAATTGATTCAAATTTGATATTTTATGATTAGAATCAACTATACATTAATGCAAATTAAAAACAATCTTAATTCAAATTTGCTATGAATTTGAGATAATGCATGACAAACCTTCCCACCTATCCAATTTAAAATTTAGATTTGATAGTAGGATTATTATATGGAAGATCAAGTGTAGTTGACATTACAAACTAAAAGATTTCAATTGTGATTATCTTGTAAATTAAATAGAAAAACATAATTTTTTTTAATTCAAAATTCAAATATTTCATCAACATAATCCAGTTAAGTTTTTTAAAAAATCAACTTCAAATTAAATAATTTAATCCAAATAATGATTAGATTCAATACTCTAAGTTGATTTATATATATAAATGTTTTTCATTTAACTCCTTTCAAAAAAATCTTTCAATACTATGTTAATTCGAACTAACTATATTCACAAATACTCTAAAACACATGAAAAAAAAGTTGTAGCCTTCTTTATATGCTTTTTTTCTGTTTTGGTTTTTTTTCCTGTTTTTTTTTTGTTATGTCTTTTTTTTATTTTCTTTTTTTTTGTTTTCCCCACATTTTTTTGTTTTCCCCCATATTTTCACTACCAGAAAATTCGTTAAATAGCAACGGATTTACCGATGGAATATTTTTGTCGGTAATTTGAGGTTAAAATTACTGACGGTTATATCCCATCCGTAATTCAGTTGGTAACTACTGATGGAAAATTTCTGTTAGTAGTTACTGATTGAATTATGGACGGAAACATCACCGTTATAAAAAAAAAGGGTCGCTGGCGTGGAGGTTTTAGCGGATTATTTTTCCAGACGGAATCACCGACGGATTCAAAAAGACAACCCGTACAGCGATTGTCGTTTATATTGCCAATAGATTCACCGACGGATTTGAAATGGCAGATCCATACGGTGACGTGTGATTAGTACTTAAAAGTGCATTTTTATCAAGGTTTTATATCATCATTCTACACTTGAAGTATCAATAACTCCTTAACTATATGAAGGGTTAACACCTAGAGATAGACAAATGGTTGAATTGATGTGTAATGGAACTTTTGAAGATAAAGACCTTGATGAAGCAATGGAGTACTTAGACTTGTTAGTTGAGAATGCTCAAAATTAGGACACCGTGAGTACTTATGAGGCACCAAGTAAAACTCAACCTCATGCATCTAGTAGAGGTATGTACAACCTTAGGGAAGATCATGGCCTCCGAGCGAAGTTTGCAAAAATAGCTAGAAAAGTCGAGGCACTAGAATTGAAAAAGAGTGGTCAATTAAAATTTGTTGAAAACATTGTGTGTCAAATGTGTGAAACAAATGAACACTCAACCAATAATTGTCCAACCTTGCCTTCTTTTAAGGAATGTCTCCATGAACAAGCTCATGCTTTAAACAGTTTTGAAAGGCCCAATCATAACCCATATTTGCAAACATACAATCCTAGTTGGAGAAATCACCCAAATTTCACTTGGAAGAATGACAATGGACAAACTTCACCACCACAATTTCAAGCACACCATAATTTCCAAAATTCTTATGGATATACCTCCTTATGCTCCACCTCCTACAAGAAATTTTGAGGAAACTTTGTATACATTCATTGAAAAGCAAGAGACAATCAACACTCAACTTGCTCAAGGCATAACAGATTTTAAAGATACTCTTGCAAAATTCACATCTGCTCTCAGTTTTCAAGAGAAAGGTAAGTTTCCATCTCAACCACAGCAAAATCCCAAGGGGCAATACAATGGAAATGCAAGTAGTCTTGGAAGCCAACACATGGATCAAGTCAAATCAGTCACTACTCTTCGTAGTGGTAAGGTTATTGAAAAACTCTCTCTTGAACCTTATGAGAAAGATGATGAGTCAATCTCTGAGGGTAAGGAACGGGTTGAATCTGAAAATTGCAAAGAAATGACTGATTCCCCGCCAGCAGTTCTATTTCCACATGCCATGACCGATCAGGAAGAAATCGATGATGAAAAAGGCACCAAAAATATTGATACGGATCTTTTATAAAAAATGACAACAGATTCGACACCCGACATCACACCAATCAATGACTACTTTCCTGATAAATCTCTACTTTCTCTTAGTTCAATGCCTTGGTTTGCTAAAAATATCAATTTTCTTGCTTTAGGATTTTTGCCAGCTCACTGAAGTACCGAAGACAAAAGAAAATTTTTGAGCAACGTGCAATATTTTTACTAGGATGACCCTTACTTATTCAATTATTGTCCTGATCAAATATTTCAAAAATACATTCCCGACAATGAGGTAAGTAATTTAATTAAATTTTGTCACTTTAAGGCACGTAGGGATCATTTCTCGTAAAAAAAAAGGACTGTAGAAATCTTACAAAATGGATTTTACTGGCCCACCATATTCAAGGAATCACATGCATCCTGCAAAACCTATGAAAATTGTCAAAAAGTGGGATTTATTTCAAAACACAGAGAGTCTTTAGATAATCTTCTATTGACTCTTAAGTCTCATTATAGTCGAGATAAGC